CCGAGCGAGTCTAGTCCGTCCGTGTATTCCGGGACTGGCTAAGTATCGGCTAGGCCTCAGGGAACTGGGGTAGAAGTATTATCTCCGAGCGTACACCCGTTCCTAGTTATGACAACCCGCACCACTCCGTACGATGCGCTGGTAAATCAAAAAATATGAGTAATTTACAGGAAACAAACAAGAATAGAAACGGGCTTCATGCCCAACAAGCAGCGATTGAAGCAAGCGCTGAAATGAAGAGAACGCAAGCGTTGGAGCGCCTTGAAAAGCTGACCATTGAGCTGCAAGAGTTTGTCCAAACTACGGTCAATATCCACAAGGAGATAAAGACCAAGACAACCGGTGTAGTCAATGCTCTTGAAAGATTCAAGAAACTGGACGAGGAATGGCAGTCATCACGACGACGCATTGAAACTGAAGTTGAGACGGAAGAAGCAATGGACACTGGAGCCGACGGTGACGGTGAATCTGCTACTGAAGACAAGGGTGAAATTGACACAAGCCTGGAAAGAGAAAGGACCGAGATTCGCCAGAGCCAACCGACAAAGTCTCAAAGAAGAAGGACTTGAAAAAAAGCCCTTCTCAACGACTGGCAGGGCAGGGCGACGAACCTAAGAAGGTGACTAATTGGGAAAAAGTGCAGTCTAAGAAGGAGAGAAGACGAAGCTAGCTAGAGAGCAACTCTCAAAGCAGCCGCCAAAGGAGCCCAGGCCAGAGCCTAAGCGGAAAAAGCCACGCAAATGGATCAGACCCAATGCACTGATCATCCGCCCGGCCGAGAAAACAAAGTATGCCGAGATTCTGCGTCGCATAAAGCAGAACGTCCCAGATGAGCAGGTTCGTTCAACGATAGATAAGATCAACAAGACCAGAAGTGGTGACTTGTTGATCACGAATTCGGGGAAAAGCACTGACAAAGGCCAAGCCCTCCAAAAGAGGATCGCAGACATCCTTAAGGAGGAGGCCAAAGTGATCTGCAAAGGACCACAGGAGACCATCGAGATCCGAGATGTCGATGACGACACGGCGAAAGAGCATATTCAGACCGCTCTAAAGAGAGAAGCTGGAGAAAGTTGTGCAATCCCTCTAGAGGCAATCAAGATCCGTAAAGCCTTTAGGGGTACGCAGACAGTCAGTGTCACTGCCAGCAGCATCAGCACAAAAGTTACTGGAGGGAAACTGCAAAATAAAGATCGGCTGGGTCAATTGCTGAATGAGAGCGACGAAATGACCCATGCAATGCTTCAAATGCTGGCACTTTGGGCACTTCGGATCTCAGTGCAAAAGCGAAGTCGACCGGTCTAAGCGCTGTATAAGGTGCGGAAAAGAATGACTTAAAATTGCTGATTGTAAAAATCCAGCTAAATATACTCTGTGCGTTGAACAGCATGGCATAGAAAAGGCGGCTCACCATGCAGGCACGAGCAGATGCCCCGTCTTCCAAGAAGCGCTTCAGAAGATAACGAAGTCAAGAACATGAAGATATACACTTGACGTGATCCTTCTTAACACCGGTGATACGCCAACCTATACCAAGGGAGAGACAAGCTCAATTGTCGACCTCACATTTGTCAGCAGTTGCTTAACCCGAAGAGGTTTTTCTTGGAAAGTATTGAACATCTACACAGCCAGTGAGCATAGTGCGATACTATGGGAAATATCAACTGGCCGGAATCTAACAAGAGTCAACAGGAACGTCAGCGCGGTCGAGTGGAAAGTTAGATCTCTCGACCTCACTGCTTTGGTAGTAGCCCTAGAGTGCGATCCGATCATCGTAGAAACTGCTGAAGAGAAGACCAAGGACCTAATGAGAAGAGTCACCCAGGCTTGCGACGCCAGTATGTCTCGGAAACGTGGCATGAATTCAAGAGCTTCGGTGCACTGGTAGAACGATCACATTAGCATTCTAAGCTCAGAGTATCTTAAAAAAAGAAGAAAGTCGCAGTGAGGCTACAGACGACTTAACTCCGCAGAGCTGTTGGCAGAGTATGAAAAGGCCCGTCGAGAACTAAACAGAGCCATTAAAAAAAGCAAAAGACGCTGCTGAAAGGAACTGGTCACAGAAGTAGAGAAAGATCCATGGGGCAGACCGTACAAGGTGGTTATGACCCACCTAAAATGCCAGCCAATGCCATCACCTACGTGTCCACAGCTCCTAGAGAAGATTGTTACTGCGCTGTTTCTTCAACAGCCGGTATTCACCTACAAGTTGGAGCAGCTCAACCCTGAAGACATCCCAACTATCACTTTGGATGAGTTCATAGAGGCAGGCAATCGAGTAGGGAATAATAAGGCGCCGGGATTGGACGGAATCTCTAATATTGCCCTTAAATCAATTCTTAAGGCAACACCGACATTATTCCTAGACCTTTACGATACATGCCTGAAGGAAGGGACTTTTCCCTAGAAGTGGAAACAGCAACGGCTAGTGCTACTTCCGAAGGGGAAAAAGCCGCCGGATGAACCGTCATCCTACCGACCACTCTGCATGTTAGACACGGCCGGCAAGATATTCGAGCGTATAATTCATCAGAGAATAGAGGCTGCAGTCGATCCACTCCTGGCAGAGAACCAGTTTAGTTTCCGAAAAGGACAGTCAACTCTGGATGCGATCAAATTGGTTGTTGATACAGCCAAAGATGCAATCGCTGGAACGAGATGGAAGAGTGGAAAGAAGAAATACTGCTTGGTGGCTGCTTTGGACATCGAGAATGCCTTCAACTCCGCTAACTGGGACTGTGTTATGCGGGCTCTAGAGGAAAAAAACGTACCAGGATACCTTCGCAGAATAGTAGCGAGCTACTTCACAAATAGGGTCCTGAAGCATGACACGAAGAACGGTACTGAAGTGTACGAAATCTCCGGAGGAGTGCCACAGGGATGAGTCTTAGGTCCTCTGCTATGGAACATCATGTATGATGGCCTCCTGAGAATAGCATTGCCCACGGGAGTCAAACTTGTAGCATATGGGTCATTCCACCAAATAAGAACATTTTTACGGGGTGACCCTCGCGGATTATGTTTAAAATTTATGGAGGTGTTCTTTATCATAAGACAAAAATTCCCTGAGAGTTTAAGCTCTTAATACGCAGCGGTCTTGAAGTTATGATTTTTTGAAATTTTGGAAAAAATTTTTTGGAGTTTACTCCTTAAGAATCGATTTTCATATATAAGGCACCCGGTATGAGAAAAATATGAGGGGTAAAATCTACTGATGAATGACCTCGTTACGTTTTTGGTGCGCAATCTCTATTCTGCGCAAACTTTCTCTTTTTAGGCGCGAACATTCAAACGTTCACGGGGTATGTTGCGGGTCAGCTTACGCATTAAGTATACCTATATATGTTATTAGTTATTAGTAATAACTTATTACTATATAAAATATATAGGTATATAATATATACAGCCGCGCACATTAATTTAAATAGGTATTCAAGTTTATAGTTGAATTGAAAATTGTAAATTCGGCCGTTTCTAAAGTCTAAATGTTGAAAATCTAAAATTATGCCCTTTGTCAAATTTACTAATCCTAAAAAAAAGACTGCTAATGTGGGCAAAAAGAATATAACGCCAAGTGTAAATTGAGCGTAAAGTAAAAAATGACAAAGAAAAAATCCGCGAATTTTCGAAAAAGAACATCTAAAAAGGCAGTTACTTAAAAATAAACAATTCAAATAAAATGCTGCATTAATAAAATAATGCCAATCTGACATAAGCTAATTTATAAAAATGATTCTAAAGAATAATTCAAAGTAACAAATAAACAAAAAAAATATTGAAATTTGAAAAGATTTCTCAAACAATATTATTTTAATATTGAATTTCCGTAAAATTGAAAATCGTAAATGTTTCCGTTTTAGAATCTAGAAAAGCAATTTTAGCTGATACTTAGCCTAGCATTACGTAAAATTAGCCGATTCAAAATTTTCAAATAATTAAAAATTCCGATTCAAATAATCATTTGTCGTGTTCGGCTTACAAAACCTACCCCGAGGCAGTGAATACAAAAGCATTTGATTGGATCTCAAATTAAATTTTTAAATCTTGAAAACTTCAGATCTAGTCAGCTGCTATTCATTCGTTTTACCCCGGGGTAGGTTTAATAAGCCGAATACGATAATTAATACATTTACTTTCAATTGCATATTGTATTAACCTACAACAACTGTCAACTTGCGGAGGTTTTATCGTAAATTTTATATTTTATTTATATTATTTATAATTGATATAAATATAAATTTATATCAATTGATATTTATTTCAAAATTGAGAAAATTACTCCATGAATAAAAATCAATCTATAGATGTGTCATGCATACTCTAAGTAATATAAGAAATACATTCATTTACCCTTATTAACTAATTTATTTATTTTATAATCTTTCGTAAGGAGTAAACCCCAGTCGTGCGTCGGAGCTGACACACTTTTTTTTTCAACTTTTTCGTCAATTTTTCTGATATCAAAAACATTTTTAAACAAAATCGACAAACATCGTATTTTGTAGGAAAAATTCTCAGCTTTCGAATGAAAATATTTATTTTTTCATAAACTCATCAGAAGACCCTTAAAAATCAAATTAAAGTGGAAAAATTGATTTTTTTCGGTGTGCAGCCCAAAATTCTTCAAATTTGAATTTTTTTTCTGAAAGCTGAGAGTTTTTTACATAAAATATAGCGTTTTGCCGATGTGCATATTTTTTGTTCCGTCACAATTAAATTAAATGTTAGATTCACTATGCAGTAATATAATTCCGAATAGTAATATAATTTTCTCTTTAATATTGAAATTATAGTACTCAGAAATTTTGAACCACCTGCTTAAAAGATGAGTCTATACTTCGTCACTTATCATGCAGATGGCGCTCACAACTCCCTCTATTTACTTTCATTTTGTGATTCTTTGTTGAGCGATTTTTTTTCGGATCGCTTGTTCTTAACAACAATATAATTGCTCAAGTTTTGAAGTAATAATTATTGCGTTACTTTGATATTTCATCACCATGAGTAAACGTATACGGTCAGTAAATTGTTGTAATCCATTCAATGAGTCACGTAAGTAACTAATACAGTGCACTTGACCTCTTATTTATAACCTCTACGTAGAACCAATTAAATTAATGGCCTTGTGTTTAATATTGACTTTTGACATCTAATTAAACAAAACTTTTAGATAAAAAGGAGTTAAAGATTTAAGAAAATTTCCCGACGAAGATCGTTGGAAATTTCCTGACTTAGATGACACTTCAATGTTATGTGTGCGTTGTCGATTCCGTGTCAAAGATTACATTCCGCCGGCATCAGAGGAAGAGGAAATTACTTCAAGTCAAATTAGTGTTGAAAGTCTGAGTATATCAGCTGAAATTAGTACTCAAGGAAGCAGTTATCTCGAACTGTCAGTAATTTTAGCGACAATCTATGTGATTACAATGATCATTCTTTAGAGCGATTTTTGAAAATTCCTCTTATTGAAAAAGACAAGTCAAAATTTTCTATTGATTAAGTTTTTCATTTACTGAGTGAAAACTTACTTAATTATTTTTCTATACGTTTAATTTAAGGTTATATTCTGAAAAAAATTATGGAGTAAAAAAACTTGATGAGAGCAATGCTGCCCTAGAGAATAAGTTCCAATCACAATTTAGAATAGTACCTGAATCTACCTACAGAAAGATTAATCAAGATCATTGTTCCATGATAGCTAAAGTAAAGAAATTATATAACGCTGAAAGTGACAAGTAAATTTTTTTAACAATCGATCATTTTAAAATATCTTCATTTTTTCATATTAATACGATCGATCGTTTGCTTTACAGATCAATAAAAAATAAGCTGCTTTCAATTTTACCCGACAGTTGGGAAGTCAGTCGTATAGCATCTGAATTTAACTGTTCTCAAAAATGGTACTGAATCTTAAAAATGATATCAGTGAATCTGAGAATGTTGATTTATACTCTGGTGAAATGACTACTAATACTTCGAATCTTACAAAAGCTCCAGGCAATCAGCCGCTTAAGTGAGATGTAAAAAAACTTGTCATTGTGATTTTTATGAAAGCGAAGAAAACTCAAAACAATTAGCGGACATGAAAGATTTTACATCTGTGAAGGATTGTGATGGAAATCGAACTAGGGTACAAAAAAAGTTGATTCTTTGTAATTCAAAAGAATTGTCCCAAAGCTTCAAAGCGCAATATAATTCAGTGGCAATCGGATTTTCTAAATTCGCTAGCTTGAGGCCTACTCATTGTATTCTTGCTGGAAGTAGTGGTACACATGTCATATGTGTTTGTACTATTCATCAAAATGTAAAATTGATGTTAGAAGGTACTTGTGTATTTGACATTCTTTATAATTGTACTAAAACTAGTTATTAATCTTATTACATTTATTCCATTTAGGATGTAATTTTCCAAAATTTGCGAAAATCACCGATTGGGTTGTAGAATCTCAGCCAATTTACAAAAATTTATTAAATAAATTAGTTTGTAACAATCCAAAAGAATCGTGCTTTTCCAGAATGTGCAATAGTTGTCCAAATAATGAAGAAATCGATAATTATTTTCGTGTGTCGTTTAATGAATCTGATGTTAATGAAATCCAATATAAAATGTGGACATCAACAGACCGTTGTACTATTGTGAATGTTACTTCAGATTCCGAAGACTTCATCGAGACTTTAGTGACGCAACTTGATAAGCTTTTGAAACATGATTTTATTGCGAAAACACAAAGTCGATTTTTTTCTTATACAAAACTAAATTTAAAGAGCAGGGAATTCGCTGTAGTATTTGACTTTGCGGAAAATTATGCATTCGTTGTGCAGGAAGAAGCTCAAGGCTTCCATTGGAATAATGATCAAGCTACTATATTTCCAATGGTGATTTATTATAACGAAAATGATACTATTAAGCATTTGAGCTTTGTTGGTATTTCAGATTGTCTTAAGCACGACACAGTTTTAATTTATTTATTTCAAGAGCAATTGATTGCCTTCCTTAAAAAGAAGTTTGCTGTCATCAATACGATTTTTTACTTCTCCGATGGAGCTCCACAACAATTCAAAAACAAGAAAGCATTTACAAACTTATGTTATCATTATGCTGACTGTTTAACCGCTAGAAAAGAGATCTAGTCAAATACTTATAAGAGAAATTACGCCTTCGGGCTTAATCGTTAAAACTCGGGAATAATCGTATGAACTCGGGAATAATCGTATCACGCTATGGCCGTCGCGCATGCGTGCCTTGGTTAGCGGTAGAGAAGCAAGCTCGCGTGGTCTGCTGCAACAGTTGTGCTTGGACTTTTGTACTAGTACGACTACTCTGTGCTAATCAATTCTGACAATTCTTACTTGCATCTCACATTCATTGAAATATTTAAATTATTCATTAAATATAAATAATTATAGTAGATTCAATTATACTTTAAATTCTCAATTCATTTAAATCAGTTTAATAGTTCAGTGAATTAACATAAATAAGTAAAATCAAGTAAATTTATTTAGTGACGCCACGCGGCCATTACGCGCCACCGTTAACAAAGGATTGCATCAGCCACGCGGCTTTAGTCAATCCATAATTGACGCGTGATATTAACAATTAATTACATTAAATCAATTATTAACATTTAATTACGATCTTATTTAATTTAACTTATAAATAATTAAATTCCAATTTCAAATCATTTGACTAATTTCTACATGAAAAACATCAAACTCAATTGACTAACATTCTGTTATCAATTGAATATTATTAGCTCTCACCTAGAGACAATTGAATATTATTAGCTCTCACCTAGAGACAATTGAACATTAATAGCTCTCACTCTGAGACAGTTCAAATTAATTAGATATTACCAGCTCCCACCTTGGGACTTATCTAATTCAAATTATCGATAATTTTCTATCTAAGGCGGCTGAGCTCACCCCTATTGCGTTATTGCAACGTAATTTTATACATTCACACTTACACACACACAATTTACTTGTATAATTTCATCAAAGAGGTTTTTTCCCAGCCTAGCTGGGTTTTCCTCCTTTGGGGACAAATAAATTCTTCTAAATTGTTCCCCAAAAAATCCAAGTATTATTATTTAATTTCCTAATCCCAACTTTATCGTATAATTTAAAAACAATTACGGGAATTATCCGCATTGGATAGTTTTCGACAAAACACTGACTTCGAAATCAACGCTAAGTGGCATTTTTTTGCAACTGCCCATGGCAAAGAACCATGTGATGGTCTTGCAGGTTCATTAAAACGATATGCTGCTAGAGCTTCATTACAAATGAACAATAAAGAGCATATACTGAAACCACAAGATTTGTTGTCCTGGGGAAAGAAAAATTTTACAAGCGTTGACTTTACTTTAATAGCTAATGACGATTATTTAAAAAAAAAAATGTGTTAGACGTACGATAATCTCAATCGAAAACGGTGAAAGGTACACAGTCATTACACACTTTTGTGCCTTTAAAAGATGAAATTGGTTGTGCTTTTATTAAAACTGTGTCCACATCTCAAAAAAGTTCAAAAATAAAAGTATTTTAATTATAATGAATTTGCGTTTAATTTAATTGTGACGAAAAAAAAAATATGCACATCGGCAAAACGCTATATTTTATGTAAAAAACTCTCAGCTTTCAGAAAAAAAATTCAAATTTGAAGAATATTGGGCTGCACACCGAAAAAAATCAATTTTTCCACTTTAATTTGATTTTTAAGGGTCTTCTGATGAGTTTATGAAAAAATAAATATTTTCATTCTGAAGCTGAGAATTTTTCCTACAAAATACAATGTTTGTCGATTTTGTTTAAAAATGTTTTTCATATCAGAAAAATTGACGAAAAAGTTGAAAAAAAATTTTTTCCAAAATTTCAAAAAACCATAACTTCAAGACCGCTGCGTATTAAGAGCTAAAACTCTTAGGGAATTTTTGTCTTATGATAGAGAACACCTCCATAAATTTTAAACATAATCCGCGAGGGTCGCCCCGTAAAAATGTTCTTATTTGGTGGAATGACCCATATGCGGATGACGTAGCTGTCGTGATCGTCGCAAAGCACCTCGAAGAGATAGAAATGGCATTTGATATTACATTCAGACGAGTCAATTTGTGGATGGACATGATGAACTTGCAACTAGCCAAGCATAAAACCGAGACAGTGCTCATCACTAGCAGGAAAATGGTAGAAACCATCAAGTTGAGAGTCGGAGAACAAGAAATAACATCACAACCATTTATCCGTTATCTGGGAGTGATGCTGGATGCCCGACTCAACTTCAAGCAGCAGGTGGAACACGTCAGTGCCAAAGCATCAGTAGTGAGGGCTAGTCTCGCACGGCTGATGCCTAACTTCGGAGGCCCAATGCAGAGCAGGAGACTACTATTATCATCAGTAGTCACATCAGTGCTCACTTACGGAATATCCATTTGGGCTGAGGCACTGGAGACCCAAGAATCATGGAGAAAAACTGGACCAGTATATCGATTGAGTGCCCTACGAGTAGCTAGTGCCTTCCGCACTATATTAGAAGAAGCAGTTTGCGTCATAACTGGAACCCTACCTCTTAGAGTTCTAGCAGAGAAAAGACGAGCCCTTTACCAACGAAAAAGGTCAACTGCACTGAGCCCTGAAGACCTTAGAATTGAAGAACGGCAGAAGAGCATAGGCCAATGGCAACTACAATGGGATGCTGCAGAGAAGGGTAGGTGGACGCACCGTCTCATACCTCGGATCGACATTTGGCTTAACCGAAATCACGGCGAGGTGAATTACTATCTTACGCAGATGCTGTCGGGACACGGATGTTTTCGAAAGTATCTACACCGCTTTAAGCACGATGACTCTTCGGAGTGCCCGTCCTGCCCAGAAGTTGCTAAAGATGCGGAGCACGTCTTCTTTGTATGTCCTCGTTCCGATCCACAGCGTGAAAAGTTGGAGAGGATCTTGAACCAGAAAATGTAACCAGATTCACTAGTGGAAGCAATCTTGTCATCAGAAGCTGCCTGGAACGCTACCAACACGTTTGCAACAGAAGTCCTCAAAGACTTGCGTTCCACCGAAAGAAGAAGAAGAGCAAATAGCAGAAGATAGAAGAAAGGAAGTTAACACCTTAGCCACCAGAAGGAAGAGCAGTAGCTAGATCCTCCCTTTACGAAGTAATGCCTGACAGCGGTTTCCATGAGGGATTAGAGGAAAGAAGGAAAAGAGGTTTAGGGTTTAGTGGGTAGGGGCGTTAGCGTCGAGTTTTAGTATGACGCTGCGTCGAGTCGCCACATATCCAGGCCAAACAGCTATGCCTGGAATCCGTAAAAAGGATTCCCCCCCCCCTTAAGGGGAAAAAAGGGAAAAAAAACACACACACACACACACATACAGACAACATCGCGGGAATAGTCGGGGAAGTTTCCGAGGAATTCGAAACGTTGAGATCCGATGATAAAGGGTTTTTCGAAAAACGAGGTAAAACCAATAACTTCCCGATTTTTGGAAATTTTCAATTTTCTTAGCGGGAAGTTGAAAATTTTTTTCAAATGTGGTTTTTCTGGAATAACTTTCAAATGGCTTTACCGATTGATTACAAAAACTGATCAGCTATTAACATTAAATCACCACGTCGATCGCAGCCAGCTCGGCCGTAATCGGTTGATTCGTTTGTGAGTTATCGCTAACAAAAAATTTTAAAAAATGTTTTTTCGAAATGACTTCAAAATTTCTAGTTTGATTGAATTCAACTTAAAGGTTCTTAATGAGGCTTTAAAAAATGCGTCGAATGCTGTTAACCGCGTTAAAATTGATTAATTTATACAAAAGTTATTACGGTTTGAAAATTCAAAAAAAAGTGTTTTACTAAACTTACATCAGACTTTTGAGCTCTTCGACTCAAAAGCATGGAACAGCTTTGTTTTAGCTCAGAAAGCTCAAAATTACATGAAAATCATATTTTTGAGCTCAAAGAGCTCAAAAGCGTCATAAGTGTAATTTTGAGCACTTAGGTATGGACTTAGCGGGAAGTTGCAGTCGAATACTGCCAACCGCGTAAAAATCGATTCATTTA